GAGTGTCATTTGTCAACTTAATACATATATGTTATGTACAAATTTACTTGTTCGTCTACATAGTTTATTATATATAATTTAAATATATATATATTTTTTTATAAATATTTTTATAATATATTTTATTTTTACATACATATATTATAAAATATATTTAATATATATTTTAATGTTATGTACAAATTTACTTGTTCGTCTACATATTTTAATTTTATATAATTTAATATATATTATATAATATATATTTTCTTCTATAAATATTTTTTATAATATATATATATATATATATATTATTTTTATATAAATATATTATAAAATATATATTTAATATATTATACTATACATTTTAATAATATATATTATAAAATATTTTTTACAATATATATATATATATATATTTTATTATAAAAATACAATATATATATTTTTTAAATACATATGAAATTATATAATTTTTTAATCGCGTTGTGTGAATAAATTTGGATCGATGGAAAAATGGAATAATTTAAAATTCGCGTAATTTATAATTTTTTTGCATTATCTTCGTGAATAAAGGCTTGAAAAAAAACCCGGCTATTCAAGGTTTCCCTTTTTCGTACACTCACGACGTAGAGCTACGGCAATTAATTTTTGATGATTCGCTTCTACGTAAGCGTGGTCGTTACGTCAAGTCGTCTGACGTGACTTTGTTGTACCTGAGGGTCGCGACGCAATTAATGACTCGATAAATAATAATCGATCTAAAATGACGTACGCAGCAGAACAGACCGTAAGCCTTCCATTGGGAATAATTAATTTTGATAATCAGCGAGTACCGACACTTCGCGAATGAATGAAAGAATGACGTGAGAAACGTCATGGGATTAAAGACTTTGATAAGAATATCACTTCATTCTCTCGATGATGAGAAAAAAATGTATCTACATTTTTAATTTAATTTAATAATAACAATTTTAATAAATAATTGCGAGAAATTTACTTGCGTACCCACAAATTCTTCTCTTATTCTTTTGTGATTTTTTATATCAATTTGTGACAGGATAAAAGTCAAACAAAACATATGTTTATCTTGCGACTGTTTACAAACAGAAGATACTTTGAATAATCTCGCCGGAATATTTTTGTACGTGTGGATGATAATCGTGCGCTACGAGAGGATTCCAGCAATTACCGAAGTTAATATGACGGAAGCGTTTTTTTTTCTTCATCCGATCCTAATTTACGATTAGCTGCGGCGCGATTGGTTCCACATAGCCGCGCGCACGTGCACGCTTCGCACGACTTGACAGTGATTGCGTGACACGCTCGACTATACAGGGTAAGTTGAGGGAAACATAGTATCGAAGTAATAGTAATCGAAAAAAGTGATTTTTCGTACAGAAATACAGAATACAATTTTCTCGCTTTGCATTAATTCTCCAAATTTTTTAATCAATTTTCTCGAAAACAAAACATGTGTTACGTACTGTCATATTCGCCTCGATAACTATTTATATTGTACATAAATATAATTAAAAGGAACAAAAAAAATAATATGAAATAAAAAGCCAAAAAATTTGTGAATAAAAATATAAAATATAATATAAAAATATTTAAAAATATAGAAATATAAAATATAAATAAAATCTAAATATAATATTATAACATATAACAATGTATGTGTGTGTGTATTTTTCTATTTAATAAAACAATTGAAAATAACTAAAATAATTAAAAAATAACTTTAATATGCACATATATTGTATTTATATATTTTAGATATTAATAACGTATAACTATGTCCAAAAATTAAATTAATTAAGAAAAGAGCAAGTTTGCATAAAAATATAAGTCCAGAAATGATTTATTAAAATATTAAGATTAATGATTCATAAGAGAAACTATTTTTAGTGCTTTTATAATTTTACAATAAACAATTTTATAAATAAAAAATGACTAAAAATTCTCTCTCTCTTATACTGATATAAAATCTTTAAAAAAAACCAATAAAAACGGTTTTACTCTACTGCATCTTTTTATAACTCTTTAATAAAGCATTTTCAGAAACATATAATTTTATAAAAGGTAAGAATCTTCTCTCGACCGTACTGGCAAATATTATTTATTCAATCACCATGTGTGATTGAATAAATAATATTTGCCAGTACGGTCGAGAGAAGATTCTTACTTTTTTTAAATTCTGTCTGGCGATTCTCAAATATCTACGTTTTTATATATTATATAATTTTATATATAAACTTTTTTTATTTACTGATTTTTTAATGCTCCATAAAAATATGTAATTATTAACTTGATTAAACCGTTCAACTAAATAATATTTGGTTAATTGAACATATAAAAATATTTAAATTAAATATAACATATATTGAATCTAACAAAACATGTAGATATTTGACTTAAATACTAATATAAGTTTAATTAACAAATAGTAAAATTAACAATTTTTTTAGTGCATGATCTCCACATCTAAAAATATTTCTAAAATAAAGAATAAACCGTTTCATTGAACAATATACATACATAATGTTCGTGACTGAGAGAAACGTGTGAAACAACATCGCGTGCGATATACATAATATAATTGTACTTAAATATATATTAAATAATAACATTCGCACATGACTGCGTCCAGATATGCCTGAAATAGAAACCGAAGCTCTCTATACAATATGTATATATGCATTTCGTAACGGTATGCAACGCGCGGGAAAAGGTGTGAAATAACCATCGCGTGCACACGAGACTTACGTAATTTACATATATATATATATATATATGTTTAATAACATCCCCTGCATCCAAAGGACTGTGGACGAAAAAATTCTCTTTCTCCCTTTTTTTCGCGTCAATGTGTTCGCCTGCTCCTGACATATGCGCCGACTTTGACATAATGACAGGCATTGCGGCACGATAATTGCACGCGTGACCGCCGGAAAACGTCGACTTTACAGGTGCGTGTACTCACGCGGGTGACCGCCGCGGTAAGTAGCGTGACTGTAACACGTGTCGGCCGTTAATCGCGTCATCGGCGAAATGCGTCCAGATTCCGCTCGAAAAGAAGTTTCTCTACTACTTGCTGCTCGTTAAATTAAGCAAAAATATTTTTGGCAAGACATCTTTTTTTCATTTTTTTTTCTTTTACGTACATATATACGTTTCTTTTCTTTAAACATGGGCGACATCTACACTACCCATACAGCATAAAATATTTTTAAAATCTTTTAAAAATGTTTCTTAAAATATCCTTAAAATTATAAGAATAAAATACAATTTCTTAAAATATTTTTAAAAATATAAGAATAAAATACAATTTTGAGAAATATTTTTAAAATTTTTTAAAAATATTTCTTAAAATCTTTTAAAAATATTTCATAAAATATTTTTAAAAATATAAGAATAAAATACAATTTTAAGAAATATTTTTAAAATATTTCTTAAAAGATAAAAAAATTCTCGAAAATAATTACGCCGAAGAATAAAAAGCGAACGTACGCGTGCAATATATTAAATCAAAAATTATATAAACTATTAAGCGAAAATATATATACAGGATATTTAGTAATGATCTCATGATCTCTGTATTAATTAATATTTTTCATTAATTATTTTGCGAGAATTGTAAAATGATAAAGGATTTTTCTCGGTTTAATGCATTCTATTTACACGAGAGATCCGACGATTATTACTAACATCTTGTGTATATTTTTTTTCACTGTAATTTAAATTATTTTAAATTGTTTTATTAAATAGAACGTCATACTTTTATATGTATTTCTGTGTTCATAATTAAGAAGAATTTGATGTATGATACAAGATTAAGCTTTAAAAAGCGTAGATATGTTATTAATTTTTTAAATTTTGTTTAATTAATTATTGTTTTCGAAAACAAAGCTTTTTATATGAAAAAATTTTACTCTATATATTTTCGGCTTATTTTTCAAATAGGATCATTACTTTTCCAGTTATATCATCAGTAATATCTTATAAGATTTATGTCAGACTTCAAGAGTGCATTCTTTAGAACTCTAGAGAATACACAATCTATTTTTATCTGATGTAGAAGATTAATATAGAAACAACTGATATATTTGAGATCTAATATAGAATTAACTATCGTATCACAAACTTCCATCTAAAATTATATCTTTTTATCGCAAAAATTTGTGATAAATATAGTTTACATAAATCACATTGTAAAGTAACTTTTAATTACTACTTAAAATTATGTAAACTTTAATTAATTAATATACTTGTTTTAATCTTCTTCTGGGTTAATAACTTATATGTTTAATAACTTAATTAATCAATTTTCTACTAATATAACTAAGTCAATGTCAGTTTATTCTCATATTATATAAATGTCATTTGTTAACAATAACAGGATAACATGAAATTTTTGTTTTATACTGTTTCCGTCATAATAGAACATTATATAACTAATTTTATTAGTTTACTTTTAGATAATACTTGTTATAAATATTTAAAGAGAAAAAGCGTCAAAACCGACATAACATTTTGAATTTTGAATTTTAGCCTACTAAAAGTTTCAAAATAAAATATATTCACAACAAACAATATTTATTAGAATCTATGTTCTGTTAAAATCATCGTAGTATTGATAATATTATATATAATATAAACTTTTAAGTGAAAGTAAATAATTTTTTGCGAACAAAAGAAAGATGTAAAAACGCGATTTTCAAAAAACCAATTTACTTATTAAAAATATATATACAAAAACACAATAAAATTATTTAAAAAGCAAATGAAAATATATCTTTTTTATTTATAAAAAAAATGATTTGGTTTAGCATCCTTTGTCTTTCTTTAAAATTCATTTTCCTTGCTGCACCAAAAATTCTACAAATATGAATTTGTCAAAATTTTCATTTTTACAGGCTCGTTATCAAAGCAAATATTTTAATAAAATTTGAGGATCAATATAAAAATGTAGAGAACATCTGAATCAGTTACTAGAAAAAATAAAATCATCCTTTTACCTAAATCAGAGCGAAAGTCCTTCGGCACATGTTCACCAGGAAGTCACCCCAAGAAAAAGATCAAAGTCCATCCAAAACGATCCGCTCAAAGCATATATCTCTCTGTCCAATTATCACCACCAACACGATCTCGTCGCACCAGATCTATTTCAATCTTCCATCTCGCGGACCGAGAGGCTCCAAGGATTCGAAACGTCAAACTCGGGGCGAAACGTCAAACTCGGAGCGAAACGTCAAACTCTCGCGTTCGCGCGTCATCTATAACTCGGTAATTTTTGCCCGTTGCAGCAATCGGACCGCTTCCGCGAGAGACCAAGGGGGTTGAAGGAGGGAGGGGGAGGGCACAAGAAGGCCTCTCAACTCCGAGGATTATCATCCCCCGGGGCTCTCGCGATGGGCGGACGCGCGTCTGCTCCCGGACGCGAGAGCACGTGCGCGAAACGTCAACCGGACGACGCCGATTGGTCGACGGGCGGGTCCGCGATTTTCACGGGGGTTGAATGAGCGACCCCTGAACCGCAGGCCGAGGGGGTAGCTTCCCTTCCACCCCTCCGGGAAGCCGCGAGGCGTCGCGACGCGCAAGCGGAGCGCGAAAGTCACTACTTCGCGTGATGCTCGAGCTCGGCCTCTCCCCGAGTAATCGCGAGGAATCGTTGGGGTTGAACGGCGTTATCGAGCGTGAACCACTCGACAAGTATAAAGGAGAGAGAGAGGAAGGAAGGAAAAATATTTACTTTATTAATTTTTACTTTAAGAAAGGACAGAGGCACCAAAAATACCCCTATATTCGTGAATTTTTTTCTCAGGAAGTATTAATAAGATTATTAAAATAGGGATTCTAGTTGTCTATTATTATGTATATTTACTCATACAGCACAAAATATTATAAATGTTTTCAAAAAATATTTCTAAATATTTCTGTAAAATATGGAATAAAACATTCTGGTTTTAGGAATATTTTAAAATGATTTAAAAATTTTTTGTAATAACATTTTTTAGAATATTTTAAAAAACTTTTAAAAATATTTTTTAAAATGTTCTTTATTGCTCAGATAATATTTTTTTAAATATTTGATATTTTTTAAACGAAGAAGAAGCGGACATAGAAACATTTTAAAAATATTTTCGAGAATTATTTTATCTTTTAAGAAATATTTTTAAAAGATTTTTAAAATATTTTGTGCTGTATGGGTAGTAATATAAGGTAAAATTTTTATTGAAAAATATTTTTTATTTTTATTCAAAAATATGGCAGATATTGCTGCTGACTTTGAAACAAAAAAACTCGATTGTTTCTTAAAATAATACTAATAAATTTAGTCTTTGTTGTAGAATTTTTTAATAACCAAAAAATAATCGTTTTTTTAATTAAAAAATTCGTTCTTATATAAATGTAATTTTACAAATATTGCAAATTTAAAAAATTTGATATGACAAAGACTAGAGTTATCTGTATATTTTAAGAATTGATAATCCTGATATATTTTGAGAAAAAATTCATGAATATAGCTGGCTATTTTTTATGCCTGTAGATGTATGTTTCTCCTTAAGTTTAAACAAATATTTTGCAACATTTAATACTATGAATAAATAGAAAGAAATAGAAAAAATATATGCAAAAAAAGAGATATATGTATAAATGAACGAGTTATGTGCAAATATAACTATTGCATAAGATTTATTTCTTATAGAAAAATGAGAAATTATTAATTTAAATAATAAATTTGAATTAAAATTGTTATTACAAATAAATTGTTATGAATAATAATTATTTTAAATTAAAATTTATTGTTTAATAATTTTTACTTTTTAAAAGAAAATAACTTATTATCAATATTTAATAATTATTATTTTTTAGGAAGTTACAAATTATTCATAAAATTTAATTAAAAAATTATTCTAAACTATTACGAGTTTTAGAAATAAAATTGTAATAATTCTTATATGCAAGGATATATGTGCCTGAATTGCTTATGCACAATGAAAAAATTTTTTATAAAACTTAATAATTTTTATATAGTATAATAATTTCTAATATTCTAAAGGAAATACATTTATAATTATACAGACACACATATACATATTTGTATATATATTTATGGATCGTAAAAATATTTATAAAATAAAATTCTTAAATTCAAGAAATGGCTCTTCCAAAATTACTTCAAAAATTCAAAAATTAAAATTATAAAAAAATTGAATCTTTAGAAACACATTAAAATACACATTATACATATGTTTTTCAATCATTCGCGCTTTCTCTATATTACTAATTGCGCCGCGTAATTTTTGTACTTTAGACTGATTCAGATTATAGATCGACTTCAGTGAAGATTGATCCTTAAACGAAGATGTGTGACAAACCTCGTTGGAATATATACAATTTCTGTTACCGCAAGCTGGAAGTGACTGCGACATCTGGCCGTTTCTCACGGCGCTGCGACGTTATGGTTACGCAAGACAAGCGTAATGACATACGGTGTTCCCTGAATATTTCATTTATTATTTCCCTGGAAATCAATGATCGCCATCTCTAGAATACATATATGCGATTAGGCCGTTGTTTCATCCATTAGATATTTTAGGCATGCCTAGAACTCTCGTATATGTATGTATACAGGGTGTTCCGTCATGAAACAACCGATAAACTTCGATCAACGTGTTCGAATGGTTATTTTCAACTAAAAATACACGCTATATGGATCGATCTTCTTTTTATAATTTTAATTTTCGAATTTTGAAGTAATTTTGGAAGAGCAATTTCTTGAATTTAAAAATTTAATTTCATTTTTGCTTATAAATTTATTATAAATTTTATTTTATTTTATTTTATTTTTATTTTTAATTTTATTTATTTATATTATAAAAGAATTTAATTGAATTTAATTTATAAAAAATTTATTATAAATTTTAACATTTTTTCTAAGTTAAACTTTTTTGTTTATTAAATTTTAACTGATTTAATTTTTTGTTTTTTATAAGTTATAAACCTATTATTTTAAATTAAAGTATTATTAATTTTTATGTTCATTTATCATAAATTTTAATTACCAAAAATATATTTCTATATAGAAATCAAATTTTTGTTTGTTATTTGTTATTATATATTTTAAAAGAATTAACAAACAAAATTCTAATTTAATATAAATAATATTTTTAAAAATTAATTTTTGATTTAACTTCAGTTAATTTAATCTTAACTTAATTTTAACTGATTTAATTTTTTGTTCATGCAACTTTTAACTAAATTAATTTTATAAGCAACTATAACTTTAACTTAACTTAGTTTTAAAAAATCATTAAATACCCAATCCTACAAATCAGAAATATAGAGACAATTATTACAGGAAATAAATTAATGCATTCCAATCAATAAATTAATAAATTATTGCATGATGATCAGACAGCTTTCATTATTCATATAATAAAGTATATTTATATCCCGGAAATAAAGTCGAATCAACTCATAATTTATATTATTACACAATTTTTGCTTACAAAGTATAACTATCTAAACACAACATTGGCGAAATTTATCGATTTCGTGACGAAATATTTTGTATGCAAATTTTTTAAGAACTCTATTTACTAAAATAATCGTAAAACACATAAGAAAGAAAAATTTGTGAATTTTAAATTCTCTAAAATTTGCGAAATATAAATTTTTATGTGAATAAATAATCACATGTCTCGATGATCTTATGACAATTAATGAATATTATAATTAATTGCGTATATAAAATTAAAACCATTAATTACATTGTAATTAATTTCGTATATAAAATTAAATCCTCCGAATTAAAGTTTAATAATTAATTGATAGGTGTTTGATACACACTGCAATTATATTAGACGTATCGAACATTAGATCTCGATATAACTATTATCGATTGTACTATCGATATGGATGTAACGTCCATTTTTGTTCTTTCTTCCCTTGTGTCTTTTCTATTATTACGCATAGCCGTAAGCATTCATTAAAGTACAACATATATGTATTAAGTCATTGCGTTATTCATATACACCTATCCTTTGAGTTATATAGATAAAGGTAAAAGGTGTATTTTCTGCTAACAAGGTTATGGGCCCAGGACGGGTAAATAAGTAAATAATCACATTAGTCGAGAGAAAAGTAAAAATAACCTAACTCTTAGTGGAAGGTTCTCGATCGAGGCAAATAAAACACACATTCAGAATGTCCTCGTTATCACAGATTGTTGATCGCATTGACAAATTAAATGGTGCAAATTATCGGTCATGGAAATTTAACATGAAGATGACCCTGGTACAAAGAGAGTTGTGGCAGCATGTAACCGGCGAAGCCGCCTTGCCGGACGGCCACACGCAAGAAGATGGAGAACGTTTCCGGAATAAAGAAAATAAAGCTTTGGCGACAATTGCTCTCGGTGTCGAACCTGAACATCAAATACATATCCTGGACTGTAACAAGGCATCTGATGCATGGGAGGCATTACAAAGAATTTTTGAACCGAAATCTCGTGCAAGGATTCTACAACTAAAGAAGCAGATGTTGTCTATAAAACTGGAATCGACCGAGACGATGAATTCATATTTGGCAAGACTGAAGACATGTAGTGACAGTCTCAAAGAGGTAGGATATGAATTTAGAGATGATGATTTAGCATACGCTATGTTATCAGGTCTTCCGGATACATATGATGGAATAGTAATGGCGCTTGCAAATTTGGATGACGAAAAATTTAAATCGACCGAAATCAAAGAAATACTTATGAACGAATATGAACGTCGAGCACTGAAGGAAGGAGGACAGCCTGAGGAACCATCAAAAGAGGCATACCATCAAACAACTAGCAAGGAAACTAGTAAAGAAGAAAAAAGAAGGTGCTTTAGATGTAATAAAATAGGGCATTTAGCAAATAGTTGTAATGCAAAATTGTTTAATGCGAAAGGAACTAAAAAGCGTTACGGATCAAATACACATAAAAATAGTAATGTGTTATTATTAGAGTTAAATAATACTCAGCTAGATGATGCATGGTTGATAGATAGTGGAGCAACCCACCACGTATGTAAACATAGAGAATGGTTCGATAAATATAAAACAATAGCTAACGAAATAATTTATTCAGCAGACAGTAAAAATAGTGATACTCTGAAAGCTGTAGGTGTAGGTAATATAAAAATACGAAC